TTTTTTGTGCCCTTTCAGTGCAGCGTGTGCTAAGAGGGCATTCTGATGCAGCGCACCATGCGAAAGGGCACACAGTGTCAGGATGGGGTGGGGGTGGAGTCAGGATGGCCAGTGTATGGCTGCCCTGCTCCAACTCCACCCCCAGGCCAGACCTTTGTGCCAGTCTGCAGAGCCCCTAAATGTATATGAGATGGTCAAAAAAGACAAAAAAGACAAACTGGATGGAGGAAGGAACAAGAAACTTTCAGAAATGACTGGAATGTACTGTTTGATTATTTGAAAGAATGCTGGGGGGAAATAGTTGTTATGAACTTTAGAAAATAAAAGAATTAAGCTTTTCAGAAGACAGAAACCCTTATTTCAGGGAAATAAGGGGGGGAAATGTTATGGGGAAATTATACATATGGACATATAGATATATAAATATGAGCACACACACACACACACACACATGTAGAGATATAAATAAAGATTTGGGTAAAAGGCCATGTGTTTATATAGATATAAATCTATAAATGTTTACTTTATAAATGAGTATAGGTAAAACATTCTCTTTTGTTTGACATTAGAATGAAATAACTAGATTTCCAAATAAGATTAGACAGATACTTTGCGTTTAAAGTAAGAACTGTTATGAAGGAAGTCAATATGTATATATTTTATGTTATTTGTCTGTTTTATTATATGTGGTATGTTTTCTGTGAGTTATGTGATTTGATGTGTGTTGTTTGTAATGGTCTGATTTGACATTTGTTAAATATAAATGAAAAAGAAAGGAAGAGTGAAACATCAGCTCTGTTCATGTGTGTTTTTGCCCTACAAGTGCAACTCTGAAACTTCTATAAAATGCTACCACTATGAAATAATGTTTGTCCATCAGAGGCATTGCTGTGAGTGAATTGGACTAAATCAGTTTTGTTTTTCTGTGGAATGTTTGGCCAAAGACTTTGTGTGGTACTTTCCTATCCAGGTTAAGGGCTCAGTCCAGCTCCATGTCCCATTTGGGGGAAAGAGTAGGGTTAATATCTTAGTTCAACCTAACAGCTCATGACCCCTCTGCTTGTGGGGCAATGAATCTGTTCTAGGTTTTAGCCTCAACTTTCAAGGCACTATCACATGTGCTCTATCAGTTTTGGAGATTTAGCACTTTGGATGGCCCTTTTCAAGTTCAGATTAAAGCCTAACACAGATTCATAGACCCAGAGTTGTGGAAGCCATGAACTACCAATGTTGGAAAGGCAACTGTATGCATGGTGCACTTGCACAAGATGACAGAATTGCCAATATTGGTCTGAAATATATTACTTGTTCTGACTAGAGAAGACCCATTGAATGAATGAAATTTACATATGTGTTGAGTTAACACTGAACAAGAGATTCAATGCATCTACTCTGGTTGGGACTACCAAGGTTTAATCAATTTTCTCTGCAGCAATATGCTGTTCTTCATCCATGTTCCTATTAGAATCCTGTGGCGATCATGGTAGGTTTGGGATTTGTTTCTTCAAGGTTGGCATTTGTTGAAGTCAGCCATTCTTATTGATCTGGGATGTATACCACTATGTCCCATCCTGTGAGTGAAAGGAGAGGGTTCTTAGGTCCCTTTGAGTCTTCTCTTCACCATCCTCTCATGGAGTTGCCATGCAAAGCAATTAAGAGAGACTATTTGCAGAATACAGATTTGTAATGTGATGAAATTTCCCCATGGTAAATACATAGCAACTGTATTTCCTATAGTTGAAAGGCTTAACTGTATTCCATTCCCAGATAATAAAGTTGTTTGCACATTTTAAATACCAAAGTGAGAAATGACACGGGAAAGTGTAGAAACCATGAGGGATCTTGTTTTTGGTTGGCAGAAATGTAGGAGGACTGAAGGTAATATGAAGTGGGGCAGAATTAAGGAGAAATGTTATGATACATAAATTAATAATAATTCATTATTAATTTTCATTTCCTACAATGTCTTTTGATGAGGATTTCTACCTAGTTTGTGGATAAGAGTAATTGACTCTGTATAGTTGCTTGTGTCTTTCCAAACTCTTGGCTTTGGGGAAATTCTTTTGCAATAGCCAAGATAGCAATCAAGGAGAAATGAAGTTTAGTTTTAATTACATAGCTGGCAAAAATTGTTAACCACATTGGGACATTGCTAAAAGACAAGGATGCACCAAATTAGTCAGAGCCACTAGCTGTGCTGAAAACCCCACATGTTAAATGTCTGGATGAAAGGAAAGGAGAAATAGAAGAATACCTCCAGTTATGGATTCAATTCAAATCAAGGTTGCTGTTCTGGTTTTTTTGTCATTTGTAAGATACTTAGGAGGGATGTGGTGGCTCAAGTGGTTAAGACACTGACTCTGTTAATTGCAAGATCAGCAGATAGACATTTTGAGGCCTGGGTACTGCACGATGGGGTGAGCTCCCATCACTAGGACCAGCT